TTACTTAAAAATCTGAATTCAAGCAGAGGACACATGAACCAATACTGAGCGCGGGGTAAACGAAGGCCTAGGCATTAGATTACAGCCATTAGATTGGTGATATTTTGTGAAGTTTGAATCTTTAAACCACGTTCCTCACATATAAAAGGATTCTTAAGCGCTTTTATGCTAAAAGTTGGTTGAACTCCATGGATCCCATCGTAAGGCCATTTGACTGATGGTCTCTGGTAGGCAGACGAGATGATTCCTCAGCATTTCCCATCAGATGTGTTAGATATTTCAAATTCAGGGGTTAACTTCTTCGGAAACGCTATTACTAATTGTCTTACTGTTGCACTATCACCAGTGGCTTAATAAATGTTTGTTAACGTCAGGTAAATGAATTTCACACCACATACTTTAAGCCAGTAGATACTGTCTGCTCTATATCCCTTTTCTCTTTATGGTCACTATTGCTTATATGGAGTCATGGTTATCAGAAATGACGACTTCTTAATTCATCTGAATGTGTCAAAGTATATTTCATATTTGCTAAATAAGTTACAAAATTATTTCTCTTTTGTCGCCTTATACAATTAATCATGGTATATAACCAAACTAACAATTAACGATAAACTAGTTTAAATGGTTTGCCCTATCTCACCTACATAAACTCCTTTCTTTATAATAAGCCCTTACGTTATTTCAAATTAGCTAAATCGTAACCATCGTTTTACCTATACAATAGGTGAAATCAAACTGTATTCTTTTAATCGAAGATATAAAGACCAAGATGGTGTGGTCGCAGTCTCCTTTCGTTGTATAGAAGTTGTTTGACCTTGTTTTCGCAACTTTTCATAATGGTAGGAAGACTGATAGAAACGCACCTTGTCCTGAGTCCATTGTATGCATAATTATTTCCAAAATGGTCACATTGGTAGGAAGACTTATTGGAACGCACCTAGTCCGGGGTCCATTGTCTGCATGATCATTTCCAAAGTAAGACCGTGGACGTGGTACATTCCCAGACGTTTCGCCGGCATCGTCAGTGAGTATCTCCATTCTTAGCACCAAGTGGACGTGGTATATTCCCAGACGTTTCGCCGGCATCGTCAGTGAGTTTCACCATTCGTAGCACTATATT